TTGTGTTCGGATCTTTACTAGTTGTAAACGCAATCCGTACGACGTGATGGCATTCGTACCTGCCAAACGTCATTTTTTTTTTGTCTTTTTTTTTCTGGAGGACAGAGATCCGAACTCAATGTGGATAACGAGAACGCATTAAAAATACAAGGTGTAAACGCAAAGGTAAGATCAGAACACTTATTATCCGGATAACTTATCTGGATACAGATCTCATTTTAATACCAGGTGTGAATGGGGTCTTAGACTGCTTTCACCACTGTATTTGAAGACTATTATCTCTGTTATGATTGGCTAATCTCCTCATATGCAAAGTTCAAAGTTTTCAACCAAGGAAGTCCATCTGGCTGAATACTGAACAACTTTTGATATATAAAAAGCACTATGCAGCCATTTTATTTCATTGATGGTAAAAGTCTTCCAAAAACATTTTCTAAACGGTTTCCAAAAACATTAAAAATGTTCTACTACTACTACAACTAATATTATTATACTTAAGTACTGTGCAATTAATATAATACTATCCAAAAGTCTGAGAAAATGTAATTTTTTTAATTTAAAATTTAGATTTTGAAAAAATGTAGAACAAAGCAAAAGTATGATACAAAAGATTTAGGAATTAGGAATTTAATAAATATTTCTCTGTTTAAATAATAAATATTTATAATCATTTTATTATAAAAGATATATGACATTCACCACGTTAACAAATTTCATAGCTGCTACTAAAATACACAAGATGCTCTTAGGAACATTATCAGATCAAGCTGTATGAACCATCAGGTTTTATTATATATCAGATTCCATAATTTATACTGTAATACATTTTTTTTTTTTTTTTTTTTAGTTTTCAATTAGAAAATAATGCACAATTCAAGCATTTTCACTAGTGGCCTGTATTTGGACCCCACAGTATATCTCTAAATGCTGAGATATTTCAAAATTAGTTTTGAAAGAACCTTTTCTAATGTTCTTCAGCAATAGTTCTTTCTGACATTGACCATATAATATATACTGTAGTTTATAAATACTGGACAGGTAATCATAATGCATCACCACATCGAGTTGGTTTAACATGCTGTCACTCACCATACACTGGCACTGCTGGCAGTTTTCCACCCAGGTTTCTCCATTACTGTATGCTAGCAGACCGTTCTGATGCAAACACTGAGAACTCAGACGAGGATCGCATTCAGGACAGCACAACACATCCACCGTGGGATTCTCACAATCACACACCATCCGCCTGCACATCACCAACCCCGACTAAAACAGGAGAGAAAGACAGAGACTGAGTAAAAAAACTCATTTCTCAGTTTTCCTTTGACTACAACTCCCATCAGTCCCTTTGGCTCACCTGACAAGAGCAGACCGAGCACCTGTCGTCATCCAGCACCCAGATCTGCCGTTGTGTTTCACCTTCCCCGTCATGGGCGCAGTCTCCCGTGCAGTTCCTGCCGTGCGGACAGCGGCAGTCGTAACCTCCGTCCACGTTAAAGCACACGGTGTCGTTGGCACAGCTGTGCCTCCCCATCTCACATTCATCAATGTCTACCAACAAGAAACAGACCACAATAAAAGTCACTGGTTAAATCCAAGGGGTCAAGGCTTAGCTGGTTAGCACGGCCCAGTTAGCCCCTGTTAGTAGATGTCGTAATTACAACCATGCTGAAGGGGAAAAGCATGTTTCTCTATTGACTTCCATTCAAAAGAAGCACTGTTTCATTAGAAATAAGTTACCTTCACATGACTCTCCATTGGCTGAGAACATTCCGTTGTCATGGTATCCGTCACGACACTCGCAGTGGTACCAGCCAGGTAGGTTGACGCAAGTGGCTCGACTGTCACACTCCACAAACCCATCGAGGCACTCGTCGATGTCTTAGGTGACAAGGTGGAGACATGCATGAGGAAACCCAAGAAATGTATGAAAAAAAGCACAGTGTCATTGTTTTTAACATTGACCATAATACTTTTTTTTGAGCATCAAATCAGCATATTAGAATGATTTCTGAAGGATCATGTGACACTGAAGACTGTAGTAATAATGCTGAAAATTCAGCTTTGCCATCAAATGAAGAATTATACATTTTATTTGAACAAACAAAGAAACAAAAACTGCCATAAAGTGCATATTCAAATGTTATGTTTTGCTAGACTGTATTATGCTGTATCCACAACCTTTTCAAATTCCTAAATGAATGCAGATCTTCATAAGTATATTTTGATGTCTGTCCACATAACACCACATAAGGAAGTAAGACAAATGGAGCTTTTGCCATGGTCGTCTTGAAAGGAGCGTATCCAACAGCTGTTGATAATGCTCTTCAGTATCTATTCAACTTCCAGTCCTTGTCCTTGGATTACACTCAGAAAGATACGAAGAGCGTCACACAGACCCAGTCAGTTCAATGACACTTCAAGGGTTAGAAATGATTTTGTGACTTTAACCCTAGGCTACAGATTGTGCTTCACCTCACCCATCTCATTAGATTGCTAAGGGGGAATTGCATTGTGTTGTATTTCAATGCCAATTTTAATGTCAGAAATGCAGGCAAGGCTGAGTAGAGGGGTCAAACGAAAGCTGAAGAATAATATGGGTTTGTGGGTATGTGTCAGAGAGAAAAAAAATTGTTCGTAGCCTTGAGAGTCTTTGTGAAAGAGCATAGAATATGAGAAACAGCCTAAAGGCCCTTGTGAATTAGGTCTGCATGTGTTGCTTGTAGTATCGCATGTCGCAGAGAAATATTAAAAGGAATAGTTCACCCCCAAAAAATGACAATTCTGACATTATTCCCCTTAAGTTGATCTAAAGCTGTTTGACTTCATTACACAAAAATAGACATTTAGCAGAATGTTCATGCTGCTTTCTTCTACACAAGTAAACGGAGACCAGGGGCTGTCAAGTTACAAAAATAACATTAAAAAAATGCATAAATCAACCAATAAAAACAGTCAATGCAGCTCATATTTAAAGTCTCCTGAAGCCAAAGGATAACTTCTGAGAGAAAAATACACCATAGCACTCAAAAAAAAATTGAGAGTCTTTTGAACGATTTTTGAAAGTCTCCTATGCTCACCAAGACTGTGGTTCTCAAAATTACAGTAAAAGTAATATTGTGAAATATATTGAAATAGATTTTAAAATGTAATTTATTCCTGTGATGGCAAAGCTGAGCATCATCACTCCAGTCTTCAGTGTCACGCGATCCTTCAGAAATCATTCTAATATGCTGATTTGCTGCCCAAGAAACATTTCTTATTATAATCAATGTTGAAAACAGTTGTGCGGCTTTTTTAAATGGAAACTGTGATACGTTTATTTCAGGATTCTTTGATAAATAGAAAGTTAAAAAGAACAGCATTTACTTGAAATAGAATTCGTTTATAACATTATAATTGTCTTTAATTTCACTTAAATGACATTCATTGTTGTGTAAATTCAAAATACTGCACATTAGAATGCATCAGAGCAGGCTTGTGAACATTCGAATATGAACATATTCTAATATGTACGGCAGAACATTCCTTTTTGACTAAACTGTCCTTTTACTCTGAGGAACATTCTGAGGAACATTTCATCAGAAACAGAATGTCTGGTATAAAACATTTTCCATGCAAGATTGCTTCACTTTTGTCAAGATTTCACTCCCCTAACACAAAATCCCTCCTCCATTAAAAACAGAGAATGGCGAAAATAACACAAACAATACTGAATAATACATAGATGCAGTGCTGATGACATTTATTCATTTTCTTCCTTGAGCACAAACACACAGCGCACTCATCTCTCTCAGAGGAATGGCTGGCATTTGTGCTGTCAGAAAGCAGTCGCAAGTATTGATTGACTGTGTATTCACGGGTAAACCCCCAGGGTTCCCGCTGTCCTGCAGCCCTGCCACTAATTTGTCACGGAATGTCACAAGTCGACAGCACAATACATAGTCTCCATCTCATTTGCTCCATCTTCAGCATTTGGGATCCTCATACACTTCCATTTGTGTGCATTGGTGAGTTTTGCTCTAGCAAAACCAAGGGCGCAGTTTATTTTAGAGGGGACCTATTCAAAGTCTTGATTTTGTTTTTGGGTCTACTAGAATATGTTTTCATGCTCGAATGTAAAAAAAAACCCAGATTTTTTCACATATTTTACATTATTGCAGCACCTCTCTTCCCAGTCTGTCAGTAATGCTCTGTTTAGTTCCTGTCTCTATAGGCCCTGTTGGGCGTCGACCGGCCACACCGTCGGCACTAGTTGGACATCTTCAGGGGTATTTTGGCCAATTGAGCATGTTGAATCAGCGTCCGTTGGCATCAGCGCCATCGGTGAGAGAGAGAACTCTAAATGGTTGTTCAGTTTAGCGAACGAGTTGGTGCACGAGAATAAAAGCGAAAGTAATGAAAGCAAGCAAAGATGTAAAGATGGCACAGACAGAAGGCTGCTCTAATTTTACGTCATCTTCCCTGAGCATTCCAATGCGCAAATATTTTCATAACAATATGAGCCACCTGGAGTGAAGAAAGTGATCAGCATGATATATATACAGTATATACAATCTACAATCCCATGAGGACGGTAATAGTTATGGGTCCACAGTGGTATCCTCAAGTCAATTTCATCAGGGACGATTCTTCAAACGGCAAGTCATCAATCCACTCGGTCCCTGAACATCTTGGCTGTTCCCATCCCAGCTATCTCCTTCATCTGCCCTGCTCTCGTTCCCACCCCCTTCCCTTCATCCTCCCCCTCCATCCTCACACTAATGAACAGATTCACACCCACTGCTGGGTCTCGCCGGGGAGCTCGGCACTGTAAAAGGGCCTCGATGCAAACGAGGGAGTCGAAGTGCGGTTGTGTGCATGAAAGCCTGGTCCCATTCTCAAACAAAGTCTTTTTCTTTTCTTTTTTTTTTTTAACAGGAAGTTCAAAAGCAAACCTTTTCTTAATGAGAATACAGACAGCAGATCCTCAGAGTTTCCCAAACAAAAGCAGAGATTCGGAGGAAAGTCTTATCTTTGAAGTCGAAGTGAATTACTGTTTGCAACCCATTTTATTGGTGTTGGTGACATATTTCAAAGTGAAACGGATATTCAATGAGACCCAAAGTTTTGGAATAACATGATGAAACAATAGGACCTGGAAAGAGCATTTAGAAAGTAAACTTCACTGTAAAAAAAAAAAGAAAAAAAAGTTGCTGCCTTAAATTTTTAAGTACAATCAACTTAGATGTTTCAGTAATTACAACTTAAAGCTGCAGTCCGCAGTTTTTCCTCTTTGTCGCCATCTCTGTTCGAAATCTACAATTGCAGTCATTCGCGGAATTATCAACTTTACGTGAATTGAACTTCGACACGACACAGAGTGGATGAACACAATGTTTGAGGAGAGTGTGCAGCTGTCAGTCACCGCGCCGATGTGGATACTGGCATTCAGAATCACAGATTATTCTTTTTGGAAGTATGACCAACATAATAATTTTCACCGGAAAATGTCATCTGAACAAGTAAGAAACATCCACTTTTGTTCTGGTTCTGACATTGCAGTAAATCGCGCTGATTAAATCTAAAAATCTCTTATCATATCACGCAAAACCGTGCAAATTATACTTTGTTCTCAAATTGTTAATGTTAACAACGTCAGCATTGCGTGCCTACATGTAATGTCCTTCCGATATGTATCCTTGTTTTCGCATGGGTCCGGTTGCTGTCTCTTTTTTCTGTAGCCGCTCCGAAGTCCGAACAAAGTCTTTTGCATTTTACAGTGGGTGAATCTGTAGTCACTGGTGATCGTCGTTTGAACCTTTCTGGATCCGCCATCAAATTGATAAGTTTAATTATATCAAGTGCTGTGAGAAAAGGCTATAAATCTCCACCTCCAGCATCCTCACACGCAATATAGACGACTAGCCGAGACTCCTTCTTTATGTGTACAGATGTGACGTAATGACTCAAAGACATGCTCGAATCTCCCGCGGAAATCCACCAGTACCACTGAAATTAAAAATATTATTGCAAGCTTACCGCTTTCAATCGAGCTACGGCAAGCAGATAGTTTTGAACACTGGCTAGTTATGTATTTTCTCAAATATGTATTTTGTATCATTTTTAACCCCAAAAAAGCTACGGACTGCAGCTTTAAATTACATTAAAATTACTTACATTATTTGAATCTTGTATAACTTATAAAAAAAGTTAAGTTAAAGCAATGTAAAAGTATAAGTTGTCATAACTTATTGATCATTAAAAGCAAATATATCCTATAATATAATATCTATATCCTATAAATATATAATTAATAATATACATACAAAATTCTGGTGAAATGTTTTATTGTACATTAAAATTTATAATAATAATATATAAAATAATATAAAGATACAAAATACAATGTATAAAATTAAAACATATCATTAATTTACATTATATTATTACATTATAATATTATTTGTATATTAGTTGTGCAGTGTTAATCCGGATAAAACAGAGGTCTGTGTTGCACAGCAAGGGAAGACGTTCAACGGCTAAACTCTAATTATCTCCACCTCATTAGACATGATGAGTAACGACTTGGAATACATGAACCCAATGAAGCAGACATAATCAGAGCACTTAAATAAACATGGAGAAGTTTTATCGGAGGACAGATCCAGCAGCTGTTTTGAATCTCTTTGTACACACAATTTTACGCTCCTCCCTGTAGGCCTTTCTCACTAGAGCTTCTGAAGATATTCTCATTAAAATTTGATAGGGGTAGGGCTCCATTCTAGCTTAATATTAAGAGTAAACACTTCTCAAGACTCCCATTCGGGTGCAAAGACGCATTTAAGGTGTTCAGTGACACAATGCAGCCATTTTATCCGCAAGTCGAATGTGCTTACGTCCCCTTGCTATACACCCATCACATAAAGAATTAACAAGTAGCCTGCAGAAACGTCTTGATTAAGAAGCAGGACCCCGAGCCCAGGGCGTTTAACCCCTGAGGACCTGCTGTAATTGGGTTTCCTTTATGAACAGAGCATGTGTGAAGCATCTGAGCCAATCCGATGGATAATACATGGTGCCAGCTAGTCTTCTAAGAGGTAAGAGCTGAATATGAAAGAAAATGTGACTCTCTACAGCTTTCTTTTTCAGGGGAAGATAAAAAGAGAGCGATTCTTATTCAGAAAGCATCTCTGCAGCAGGATATTTGATGGAGAAGATAATTCTGTGTCTTTGTGCTTCGGTCGATTACTCTCATTAAAGAACAGAATCACAACAAAAACAATGCTCTTATCAAATCATTTCTCTATTTTACCAGGAGTACAATATCCCCTGAACTAATGGATTGCTTTGTATTTACAAAACTGGCAGGGAGTCGCCATATGTGGTCATATGTGCCAACGTCAAGCTGGCATGGATAAAAAAAGAAGAAGAAGAGAGGCTTACTGACAAAGACGGAGAGTTTAATAATGCAGTTCCTTTAGTGGAGGGAAAGGAGGTTTCAAAGGGATGAAGAACAGACTTTTCTTTGCCTCTTATGTTTGTTTGTGCAATATTTATCCTCTTTTGTGCCTTTGTCATAACATTATATTTCCCCTCAGAGGAAAAAAGAAAACATGAGGGAAAACCGTGAGGGATTACAGACGACTGAGCGCACAAAACAAGCATAAAGTGCATAATCTGTCCTCCATCACACAAATATTTATACACAAAAATGCCACAACATCATGAAAACCTAAATGCATTTGGAAATCAGTGTCCAAAAGTCAGAGCTCACAATAAAAATGTGGGTTTCGAAATCTAATTTAATAAGAAATCTAATAAGAAAACAGTTTTAGGATTATGAGAAATGTAAAAAAAAAAAAAAAATGTTGAAACATTCATTAATAATTATTAAATATTTTGTGATTTTACAAAAATAAATAAATGAATAAATAAAAACAATATTGTGTTCTTTTTCTTTTGGTCATTTCTCTCTGTAATTCGCAAACAAACAATGAATGAATGAATAAACAAATAAATAAATGTGGTCTTGTTTTTTTCTCTGTACAACATTTTAGTTTTTTTTTTTTTTTTTTTTTTTTTTCCTCTCTTTATTTCTCTTCTTTTTGTAAGTTTAGCTCTGTAATTCACAAACAAGCAATAAATAATAACACTTTATAATAATGTTCCATTTGTTTACATTAGCTAACTACAAGTTAACATGAACTAACAATGAAAAATACTTCTAAAGCATTTATTAATAGTTCATGTTAATTTCAACATTTACTAACATATTCTAAAATCAAAAGTTGTATCTGTTAATATTATTTAACAGACCTGAGCTAATTTGAGCTAACAATAAACAGTTGACTAACATTTACAAAGATTAATAAATACTGTATGATTTGCTCATTGTTAGTTAATATCTTGTTAATGCATTAACCACTGTTAACTAATGGGACCTTATTGTAAAGTGTTACTTACTAACTGACTAACTAAATAAATAAAGCTAAAAAGAAATAAGAAAGATCTATAGGTTTTACCATGTTTATTAAGCTGTTTTCCTACTGTACGTAGTTATTTTCAGCTTTTACAATCCTTGTGTGGACATTTGGTATAATGTAGGCAAAACCTGACCCAAAGCTGTGAGTTTGTCTGTGTGTCAGCCAGTTCTCTCTCCAAGAACGGTGAGTCAGGCGTTCAGCACACACAGTGTCTCGCAAACCACACCTCACTCTATCTTCTCTCTATCTCTCCACCAGCTGTCTCCCTTAGTCCCCATGCCTCCTCATTTCCTCTCTCCTCACTCCTCTTTTTCTCTTTCCCTTCATCATCCCTCTGTCACTCACACATAGGAGCGAGTGGGTGTTGGACCGGTTTGTAAAAAACCACCGGCAGATGCCCTGCTGGGTAACGTTGAGCAAAGGGTTCTGAGGTCTCTGCTTCTCTATCTCTCTTTCTCTCACACACACACACACACGGACGGACGGACACACACGCGCGCACACACATGCAGATCCCCAGAGCCATGAAAAAGCTTCATGTCTATCTCTCTTCTTCTGTTCCAGAGTTCAGTGTCTCACTTGAAATCATACCTGCCAACAGAAGCCTGCACTGCAAAAAAAAAAAAATTTAAATAAAAAAAAAATTCCTAATCAGTATTTTTGGCTTGTTTTGGAGTATTTTGTAACTTCCTTATAGCTAAAAACTGCACGATATTTTAGGTTCGATTTTCGATCATATATTTTCCTTATTTTAAGCATAACCCTTGTAAAATATTGTCATATATATATTGTCATATATGGGCTATATATATATATATATATATATATATATAAAATAAGAAAAATATATTAGCTGAAATCAAACCTAAAATATTGTGCAATTTTTCATTCTCCTATAATTAATAGTTCTAAAGAAGTTTCAAAATACTCTGATTAAGAAAATACATATATATCATTTATATATATATATATATATATATATATATATATATATATATATATATATATATATATATATATATATATATATATATATATATAAATTTTTTTTGCTCTGTGTTCCCTTTCAGGGAGAACTTGTCCTCACCATGACATGACAAGTTCTCAGCATCAAGTCATTTTTCTGTCAACACTAAAAGTAAAATACTGCATGAATCCACAAAATCACAGCCCTTCAGAACATATTTAATGTTTAATATACAGCTATGAGTGGATGGGTCTAGTCAGTCCAGTGTGACAAAATACAAACAAAGCAACTGGTAAGCACTTGCCGTGGTCGATTAGGACACTAACTGAAATTACATGGAAGTGATGTGATCTAAATCTTGATGCTTTCATATCACATTTAGTTACAACACGTTGTCGGGGGAAACAGGTTTCATCTATCTTCACAGTCAGACGTATTTTTAAAATGCAATGACATAAAGCTGACCAGTGAATCTTGCTGATTGACATTACAATGAAAGAAGAGTACAAGAAGACTGAAGATATTAGTTGTCATAACTTCACCATACTGACAAAATAATAAAAAATGATGATGATTAAATTATATGTATTTATATAAATTATATGTAAATGACATGTATTTAAATGAAATTACAACTAAATTAATATTAATAATTTATATTAATATTTATCTTACATTTGTTAAAATAAAAAAGAATTTCACTAGCATTGGTATCAATTACTGAAAATATTATATTTACATTTTTATAACCATCATTATTATAATTTATTATGTAATTATATATTTTTTATGTTAATTTATATTAATATTACAATATGTTTATACATTTCAATATATTAACATTAACTATAATTCAAATGTTATATCCATTATTATTATTATATTAAGTATTTATATTTTTCTTTTTTAAATTAAGTTATATTATATTTAAATATTTATATTATATTTAAATATTTATATTATGTTTAAATATAAAAACGTAAAATATATAATTAAATATTATAAATAATAATGTGGTATTTTAATTATTATAAAATAGAAAACATGAATTTTATTTGTTATACTCCATTATAATACATTTATAATACATATAAGACATTATTCGTCAAATTCATAGCAAACCAGTGTCATGAAATATTGAACAGTCCACAGAGAGACATCTTTGGCCATGTTCACATTCGTGGAAATCATCTGAGAGAAATCTCACTTGCCTGGAAAATATAAAAAATAAATCACCTCTCCTCCGCCTTCTTGAAGCTCTGAATATTTCTGCCAACTCAGTCCATCACTATAATATGAAAACTCTTGAGAGGCGACATCGCAGTATGTGAATATGTTGTACAATTTTCTCCACTCTCATTTTTTTTGTTTTGTTTTTTGTTGTTGCTCTAGCTCCCCGTTGAAAGGTTACAGGAAATGCCCTTCCATTGGCCTAATTGCATCTTACCTGTCTCACATCTCTTTCCAGTAAAGCCTTGCTGGCAGACGCAGGTATCTGGAGTGACGCATGAACCTCCGTTGAGACACTGGCCCTCACAGAGCGCTGCACACATTTCAACACAACACACACATTTCAGCAGGGCTTCACCATACCAATGAAAAACAGGCTGAGCTAATGCATGTGTGCAGTGTAGCCATGCAAACAGTACGGATTGTGATTTCCATTATTGGGGAAAGAAGTAATGCATTACAATTTTGTGTTACTCCCTAAAAAGTAAACACATTGCTTGTTATGGAAAGTATGAGTTGTGTTATTTTTTGCTTTACTTTTTGTCACTTGCAGGGCTGGGTTTGCTTGTTTGTTATTTGATAACAAAAAACAACAACAACAAAAAAATTCTGGCAATGTAAAGTTCCTTTCCCACCAGAAATGAAATGAATAAGCCCACACCGGTACAGTAGAGGTTAATAAATGGGAAAACTTCCTAAAGTAGCTTTATATATTTGATAAAGTAACTAGTTTTATTTGTAAATTTAAAAGTAATGCATTACTTTAATTGTTACTTATAAAAAAGTAATCTAAAAATTTCTTCAAATTTAATGAGTTTGGTAAGTACTGTCTAACTGACATGTACACTATATGGAGAGAAAATGTATCATTCTGAATTTAAGCCATGCAGTGCAAATACAGTCTGCTTCGCGTTGTTTAATTGAATAATTACTTTTATTGGAAAAACCTGTTTACTTAATTGAGAAATAAAACATAAATTCCTTTTAAATTTTAACTAATTCATATTAATGTCAACAATAAATATATAATAATGTATAATGAAAGGAAAACTACAATAACTTTTAGCATAATTTGTTAATAATCTTTAATAATTGTTTCTTTTATTCGCTGTTAATTTGGGTTAAAACTGTTTACTTGAATAACTTGAAAAACTTTAATTAAAAATACTGTTTGTTTTAATAAAATATGTTACTATTTATTATAATTAAAAACAAACAATTTGCTATATATTTGTAAGATTTATTTTTATTGTGTTATTTGCTTGTAATTTTTTTTTTTTGGTCTTTATTTTTCTTACTGTTCTTTGAATAATTACGTGAAAACCTGTTTTATTAATTAAGAAATACTTTTTTTTTTTATTACATTTGTTCATATTAAAATTAACATATATTTATATTAGCACAGCCTTATAAATGTTTTCATATAAATATTTATATAAACAATTACATTTGTTATTGGAAATATTATACTGTGTAATATTAGTAAAGTGTGGAGTTCAGATGTTTGCGCTTACCTCCGCAGACGGTCCCGTTGCCGACGTACCCTGGTTTACAGGAGCAACTGTGTCCGCCAACCGTATTGAAGCAAAGAGCGTTTTCGTCACAGGTATTCAGTCCACGCACACACTCATCGTGCTCTGAAAACACAAGGGGAGTGTGCGTCAGTGTGTTTCTGCACAATTTCCTCTAACTTTTTGCACGTTCTGCACTTTCCTTGCAGCTGTTTCTCTCGGAGGGAATACAATTCCATCTCAAAGATGAAAAACAGGCAGAAGGAGAGAGAAAGAGACAGAAAGAAAGAATAAAATCACTGAAAGGGGAAGGAGTCAGATGTGGATGTTCACAGACTGCAGTGAACAGGGACACTGCTGGTAAAACTCTTCAGCGACTCTGACATGACTATATTACTGGACTAAAACACTGATTTATAATAAAGACATCAAAGCAGTCCATTTATTGTTTAAAAGAACAGGGTTCAACAGTTCAGTAATAACAATGAAAAATCTTTCTTTGAATTGAACTTGATCATGAAACATTCAACAATCATCTCACAATGTTACAGTCTTACAATGACCTCCAGGTGACCCCAAGCCTTTGCTCAGACTGCTTGAAATGCCTCTGCTTCAGAGACTCATTAATATTTCTGTTTGGGACAAAATGTTCCCAAAGCAGCCAGGAGTTCATATTCCCAATTCGTATGTATGATATATATTTATATATATATCAAATCATACGAATTCGTACAAATTCATACGAATCAGTCAAATTTTACTCACTCGTACGAATTGGTCGTGAGATCAAAAAACAGTGGTGAAACTTCAGTGAACCTCATAACAACAACACTGTCATTTTATACTGAACATCCATTGTTCATACTTTACATTATTTGTGGAGCTTAAATTGAACTGTAGCATTTAAAACGATTTTTCTTTTTCTCCTCATTGTAAGACCAAAAAGAAAAAAACTATTTGGTCCAATACCAGCTCCATTGGCTTCCCTGATGCACTCCCTGTTTACCTCAATCATTGATATTACAGTCATGCCAGCGTTTGACTGAGATGAATTCCTCACTGTGGACGTGTTTGTGTGGTCTGTCTGATGTCTCATCTGCGTTGACTCATCTGCCTATGACGGCTAAAGTGACATCAATTATCCTCCTAATTATTCATTAAATTATTCATTAACAAGGCTCTTCTCTCCTTCTCTCACACATATTCATTTATTTTCTAGCTTCCAGATGGGCAGATCTGTCAGCCACCACCAGGTGGAAAATAGAGAATGTTCTCTCTGCTTCTCAGGCATACACTGTCTGTCTGTCTGCCTGTCTGTCTGTCTGTCTGTCTGTCTGTCTGTCTGTCTGTCTGTCTGTCTGTCTGTCTGTCTGTCTGTCTGTCTGTCTGTCTGTCTGTCTGTCTATCTATCTATCTGTCTGTGGAAAATAGAGAATGTTCTCTCTGCTCAAGTTATATATATCAAGTTATTTAATCATATATGCAATAAGTGATTCACATATAGTTTTTATTCATACTTTTGTTGAATGCACATCTTTCCTGAATGTTGGTTGAATGCATATCTTTCATGAATGTCTTATGATGTCTGTGACTAATCTTCTGTGGCCCTGAGCGAGAACATTAAATACAGGCTTTTTGTCTGTATGTATACTAAGGAGTGTGATAAACTTAAAGAAAACCCTCATCATATGATCAGGTTTCTCTGCTGACCCTATTAACGGACAGGGGTCAATTTCTGTATGGCTCTATGATTTGTTTTACTTCTTTCATACATATATCTCTCAAGAAGTAAAGTAATTGTTATTTCTTCTCTCTGAGGATGGAAGGTTTTATCAGTATGTTGCAGGTCTCATGACACGGGGTGGCAGGTCTCATGACGCTTTTCGATGGCCCCTCCGAGGTCATTACTGGAGCTTCGTGACTTGAATGACAGCTATCTTGATTGATGTCAACGTACCCTTCTATCTATGTATAATTGGTTAGACTTTATGTCCTCTGAGCCAATCAGAAGTGAATGTTTATGTAATGTATGCCCTTGAAAACAGTATAACTGGTGTACGATTTTCATGTAAGGTAGAGGTAGCTTGCGACCTCCTCGTGAGACTTTGGCTCTACCAATTGAACTGCAAACTATTCTTCAGTAAATTTTACTCTTCACGACTTCACGACTCCTGGTCTTCTTTCATCATATCTGGTCCTGGGTCTTATAACTGTTACCCCCTAACACTAACTAACTAACTAACTAACTAACTAACTAACAAACTAACTAACACACTAACTAACACACTAACACACTAACAAACTAACTAACAAACTAACAAACTAACAAACTAACTAACTAACTAACTAACTAACTAACTAACTAACTAACTAACTAACTAACTAACACACTAACTAACTAACTAACTAACTAACTAACTAACACACTAACAAACTAACTAACTAACTAACTAACTAACTAACTAACACACTAACTAACACACTAACTAACACACTAACTAACTAACACACTAACTAACTAACTAACTAACTAACTAACACACTAACACACTAACTAACTAACTAACTAACTAACACACTAACTAACACACTAACTAACACACTAACTAACTAACTAACTAACTAACACACTAACTAACTAACTAACTAACTAACTAACTAACACACTAACTAACTAACTAACTAACTAACTAACACACTAACTAACTAACTAACTAACACACTAACTAACACACTAACTAACACACTAACTAACTAACTAACTAACTAACACACTAACTAACTAACTAACTAACTGACTAACTAACTAACTATCTATCTATCTATCTATCTATCTATCTATCTATCTATCTATCTATCTATCTATCTATCTATCTATCTATCTATCTATCTATCTATCTATCTATCTATCTATCTATCTATCTATCTATCCTCCTTAGAGTTTACTTCTCTTCTGTTTTATCTCCCAAAATCCCAGTGTTTACGCCTGTCTGTCTTTTTCTTCACCATGTGTTACTTTTCATCTCCTCAAATTCCTTCCAGTGAAGTGAAATTGCTTAATCAACTTTAGTCATAAATCTTACAACACAGATCTTTAAATCGCACTCATTAAAATGTCATTAAATCATCTCATTAAAATGCATTTTGACTGATGAATGATGCTGATTGGTTGGGTGTTTTTTATACTGCGGTTCCTCATCAATGAACATCCCAGGATGCATTTACAGCTGAATTGAGAATCGTTCAACAACATAAATGCAGATCACATATTCAATCTGAATGCTCTGCTTCTTTTCAGATCGAACAGAGAGACAAAACCATATGCCTCTTCTCAAGTATGCAACAAAATCGCTTTTGGAAGAGATGTCGCTTTGTGTTTGTACATAAAAGGGATGGTACATCCAAAAATTATAATCATTTACTCATCCCCATCTTTCGAAAACCTGTATGACTTATTCTGTGGAAAACAAAAGTGGTCACCATCCACATTCACTGCATGTAACAGAACAGCGTGAACATTCTTCAAAACATCTCCTTTTGTTTTCCATGAAGCAAAGTCACACGGATTTGGAATGACATGAGGGTGAGTAAATGCTAATGTCGAGGTGAACTATCCCTTGAAAAATAGAAACTAAACAAAGGTGAAATCGCTCTGATCTTTGAAGAAACATTTACACTGACATCTCTGTCCAGAACAACGCATAAATGAGCTGATTGGAGACTAACATCCTTTTACGCTTAACATCTGCTGACTGCTCAAGAGGAACTAATGAGGAATTGTGTGAGAGACACATGAAGAAAGGAAAGAGGAACTCCACGATGTCCATTATCAATACCATTTACTCTTTTTTGAAACAATAAATGCTAACTAATAACTGGTACTGTTCATGTAACTGACAAAACCTCTTATCATGCCAACAAGTTTGTTCATTGCAGAGTAAAGGATGCAATTAGTAAATATCACTGAGCCGATCGTGAAGGCAAGACAGAGCAATAATGAACAGAAATGGAAACAGTGGAGCACAATTAAAATAATTACAGTAATTTAAATAACGTCTGATGTTTTAAATTAAAATAAGATCGGCTGATTAAAAGTGTTCTCGTTTTATATCAGGTAAAGTCTATTCCAGCTTCAAATTAAATGAATTCCAGTTTCAGCTGAAGTGACTGCAGCCTGCAGATTATCTCATAAAAATCCCACAGGCAAAATATGCAATATATTTCTCTGTGTGACTGCACACATGAATAATTGAAAATAATAATGTTTTGCCATCAGAACGCCAGCCTCACTGAGACTCTAAGTCAGAACAGAAGCACAGCTTTGAGCCAATCAACAACAGACGCACGGCTTTCAACCAATCATCAATGGGCTACAGATCCAGAGGGAAGGAGGAGAGATTAAACACATGGAGTTAAACTGATAACTGCTGTGAGTAATGATTTTATTAGATTAAAGAAGCAGGGTGTGCATTTCAATTAAAAGACATCTCTCACCTGTACGTTTTGAGAAGAAGACACAAACTGAATACTATGATTCTAGAATAGAGTTTTGGCCTTTGAAAGGTCATTGTGAAAACCATTTATTTCATATCACTTTCTATGACCAAAAAAACACGTTCTAGACAGGCAAATTTAACATTATAACTGACTCGACACCTCCAAATATGTTTGGGGCTCAAGTCTGTTCAAATGATACAAGTAAGTTTCCTCCTCAACCTCTGAGTATGCAGCTTTGCTTGAAGAAAGCAATGAAAAGCAAGCAACGTTGAAGCTTGTTCCATAGTGCGCTTATGCTTTCATACATAAATCAAGCCCTTTCCATTACAAAACAACAACATGCAGCATTAAAGTGAACAGAGTTCAGAGAACTTGATGGCGAGGTCGGTGTAATGCAGACTACTTGAAAATAATTGCAATATAATAACAATGCAGCTGGCCTTGATTACTCATGGATTCCTGAGATAATCAGCAGAAAGAAAACAAATCTAGAATATAGTTTCCAAAATAAAAGCTGAATTGTTGTTGGCCACGATGCACCTTACAGCCCAGGTGCAATTTTTTTTTAATGCTTTTTTGTATTTATTGAGACAGAAACCTTCCTGGACTCTGTTGTAATTAATTGAGTTTTAAAGTAGGTCACCGAAGACTCGTGTAGCTGTTCCCTTGCACCGTGTTTCGCTTCCTTATCCGGTGCTCCTGAAGAGATTTAATTGCTTTTTTAAGTTAAAGATCAGGAACACGTACCATCTGTACTTTCCATCAGTGAAAACTTTCGCATATACTGCCTTTCTTGAACTTTTTGTTTCATTCTTGTTCTTCCTCTATTG